ATCTTCTTTATCCATTCATCTGTCGATGGACATCTTGGCTCTTTCCACAGTTTGGCTATTGTGGACATTGCTGCTATAAACATCGGGGTGCACGTACCCTGAAAGCAACTTATTTCATCTACTCTAAACTCTATGGCTACCATACTGCTTGTGAGATACATCATCATTTAACACTAAGAATGAGAACAATTGCCAAACTCTGACATAAAACTTTCTAATATTTACACTTTTTATTTTATCAACAATCAAGTGAAAAGGAACCTACAGAATGGGAGAAAATATTTGCAAACCATTTATCTGAAGAGGTTAATCTCCAAAATATATAAGGAACTAGCAATTCTAAGATATAGGCATCTGACTACTTCATCATGTCATTTAGTGTAGGCATGACCTTCTTCTTATTTCACTAAGTCTTTCCCCGCTTCTAGCTCTTCTTTCTGTCCCCCGACCCCAATTTACAAGATACAAAAATGGGAACTAAGAGGTTTAAATGATCTGTTAAATATGTTATTCTGGATCCTCTGAAACGCAGAATCAAGCTGAGATTAAAGATTTTTTTTTTTTAAAGATTTTATTTATTTATTTGAGGGAGAGAGAGAATGAGAGACAGAGAGCATGAGAGGGAGGAGGATCAGAGGGAGAAGCAGACTCCCTGCCAAGCAGGGAGCCTGATGCAGGACTCGATCCCGGGACTCCAGGATCATGACCTGAGCCGAAGGCAGTCGCTTAACCAACTGAGCCACCCAGGCGCCCGAGATTAAAGATTTTATTAGGGGACTTTATTAGGGGAAATGCAAAGATTTTATTAGGGGAAATGACTGTGTCAGTGAGTGAAATGGGGAGGGAGCCAGAAAAAAGATGGAAGAGGCATTTGACCAGAAAGAAAATCTGATTCTGAATGAAAAAGAGAGCAAGAGAAAGTTGGGTGGAAGTGTCCTAGTCTCTTGTGCCATCCAAGGAAGATTCAGCAAGGCCAACAGGGAGTCCTTGAGCCAGCCAGAGTCAGCTGTCAGCTGAGTCCCACATCTTCTAGCAATGGTCTTGCCTTAGTTTCCTAGCCACACTCAGTCATTGGCTGGAGCAGCTCATAGGAGGTATGGCCAGAATGCAAAGGAGGCTATAGATGCAGGGTGCAGCATTCAGGTTCCTGAACAATTACTCTCCTTGTATTTGGAAGACTGTGAGGTGCATTTTTGTGGCCACCACAACAAACTTCACACTGAATTGGTACCAAAGCCAGATCCACTCTTGATTCTTGCCTGCAAGAAATTCAATTAGACTAGCATCTTCTTTGAATGTGAAGGAAGCTGTTCTTCAGCCATTGTTTTCCCAAAAAGCAGGACAGCTTTCTGTTGGAAATGGCAATTTTGCCTGGCCCTGGACACACAGGGTCTGTCTGCTGATGATGCCTTTATCTTGTCTGAGGAAGAGAAACGTTTCCATAGAAAGCTTCTGTTGCTGCTCAACTTAATTCTGGGCTTTGGAGCCCTGGAGAGGTGATTCAAGTCATAGGGACATGACGCCTTCCATAAGTTAAGGGTCATTTAGGGGAAATTGTCTGAAAATTCAGTATCTTCTGGCTGTAATGGTCCATGAAATAACTTTTAAAGAAAAGAAGGAAAAAAAGAAAGATGGAGATGGGGGTGAGGGAGGAGGAAAGCAACATCAGGAAAGCGACTTACAAGGAAGGTTCACCCACATTACAATATTGACCCATTACTCTGAGCAGTGGATAAAGACAGGTTGAGTGATCTTACTATTCCCGTTTTTTTTTTTTTAAGTAGGCTATACACAACTTAGGGCGTGAACTCACAACCCCAAGATCAAAAGTCGCATGCTCCACTGACTAAGCCAGCCAGGTGCCCCTAATGATTCCCATTTTATAAAATGTGGAAATTGAGATTAAAAAAGTTAAACCACTTGCCCAAATTTCCATTGCTCATGAAGGCAGAGATGGAAATGCAGCCCATGTCTTTCGCCCTCATCCAATAAGACTGGGTCTACACAATACCAATAAAGAAATAACAAATGAACTAAGGGAATGTTAACATCTGATGGATTGAGAACTGTTGAATTAATGGCATTGAATCCAGGATCATGAATTCTTGTTTCTCCTTTTCGTGATTGGGCACTTCCCTAACAACTGTTAGTATCTTTCTGGATGGGCAGAGGGGAATAGGACGATAAGATTTAACATTAAATTGGGATGGTCATATGGTCTTATTTCTTTTTCTTTCTTTTTTTTTTTTAATTTATTTGACAGAGAGAGACACAGCGAGAGAGGGAACACAAGCAGGGGGAGTGGGAGAGGGAGAAGCAGGCTACCCGCGGAGCAGGGAGCCCGCTGCGGGGCTCGATCCCAGGACCCTGGGACCATGACCTGAGCGGAAGGCAGACACTTAACGACTGAGCCACCCAGGCGCCCCCATATGGTCTTATTTCTAAGAAAGCGCCTTTGCATTTTATATGTTGTGTAGAATTGCAGACAATATAAGGAGTGAGTGTGCAGGTTCTTGAGTCAGATTACCTGGGTTCAGATTATGGCTCTATCACTGCTGTGTGACCGTGGATAAACCACTCAGTTCCTCTTTGCTTGAGTTCCTTCTGAGGTAATGTAAAATGGAGGTCATAATATTGTTACCTCACAGGGTTGTTCTGAGGATTAAATGAGATAACACATTTAGAAGACACTAAATAAATGTAGGCTATAATGAATATATGACCAGAAACCCTATCATTTTGAAAAGACAAACTTGTTGTTCAAGATTAACAACAGCGGATATTTCCTATATTTTCCAGTATTTACTATACACTTTAGTAAAGTCATTCCTATTTGACTGTATTATATTTGAACTTTTGTTAAAGTCCTAGTCCTGTGGCAAATGAAAATTACCTCCTAGATTTTCATGGCATTTCCTGCAAATATTTTTCCATATGGTCGTGTTACTGATATATCTTTTTCTCTGTAGTGAGGCTTATTGCCAATTGCCAACAGAACAGGCTTTGTTGTGTACCCAAAATCCAATATTCTAATATGCAGATAAAATGATTCATACCTATAATATATATCCACTCAACCCAAAATAAAATACTAGCACAGTCATATTATTCATTTTGGTAAAACCTTTAAAATTTTTCATTTAAATCAAATAATCAAATTCATTGCAATCTTCAACGAGATAGTCACTAGGCTATACTACAGTAGATGCCAAGGAAGAAGCCACTACGCAGCCATCCTTGTCTAGCTGGGATGAGTAGACTGATCTGCATAAAACCACCAAGAAAGTTAAAGATAGAAGGTAAATTCTAATTTGCATGGCGAAGGTCATAAGAGCTATAGAAATTCAGAGGACTATCAGAATGGTAAGGTGATAAGGAAAGGTTATGCATAGGAGATGGGAAGAGGCAGTTTGGCAATTAATATCTCACCATGAGTGAGTTAACTTCTTTGTGCTTCCTGGGTCCTTGTTTATGAAATTAAATGCATTAAAATGCCTAAGGCAATCTACATGAGGTAGGCTTGAATGGAGTTTCAAGAATGGGCAGGTTATTATTAGTGGAAAATGATTCCGTTGACAGGAATAATTAAAGCTAGGGATGGGGATATTTCAAGTAGTAGAAATAAAAATCTTGTAAAAAACTTTGGTATATGCAACAAGAAAAAAGGTTCACAGGTAGTAGCAGTGTTACCTAATTTTCTAATTTTCTGTTGCAAATAGCACATTCTTTCTTTCTTGTACGGCAAAGGAACTTTCATTCAACATTTGCTGCTTGTCTGCTTCTTGGCTCAGGTTATAATCCTAGCGAATTAATCCTTCCACACTGCAAAGATTTCTTAATAAAGGAAACAAGGCAGAGTAGTGTCAAAGAATAACCCAAAGTCATAAAGTCACTTAATTATAGCACATTGTTTACTTATTTACAAAGAGGATAAATCAGTAGATTGATTTCACCCCACAGAGGCAAAATAGGTTTTTTAAAAGAGGAAAAAAAGGAGAGAAAAGTAATTGTAGTCTGAGAAGAGTGAATCTTGTTTGCACAATTTTTATGGGTTATCTGATTAGCTGCAGCAGTCAATCTGGACAGTCTGTCCTTGAGTAGGCTGATTAGGGGTACAAAAATACCTTAATTGTTTATAAATTCTCTAGTAAATCTTTGTGAGCTAAACTATGAAGCTGCATGAGAGGCTGTTTCTCTGTAATGTCTGCCAGTGTCTATCAGCACCTCATTCTTAGTTGCACAGGGTCTGCACTACTTCCCTCAATATACCTGCTACTTTTTTGTAAATCTGTTTCCCCTACATCCTTACTTTGCACTGGATCCTCTTCTGAGTCCTAATTTAAAAGTGATCATAATCTAGGGTGCTCTGTAGTGTAGTTTCTATTACGAAGAGTTATAATCATAAACATTTTTCTAGTATGAATTTAAGATGTTAAAAATATGCAAAATTTAAGTTTTCCTTCATTCTTGCATTCATCTAAGGATTAACACCAGTTTTTCCGTACTCCAGCAAACAAAACAACACATAGAACAGTACTGACATTACTGTTAGATGAATTGTATGAGCCAACTTGAAAAGAGAAATTTTAAGTAAATATTTTAACATTAACATTTTAAATGTTACTTAAAATATTTTAATTTGGACAATTAATAGTTTCAGTGCCCCAAACAGTTGATTATTGCTTCCATCCTGCAGTAAATTATCACAGGGGCAAATTTTGGCAAATATTTGCTGGCTTCATGCCCACAGGCATTATTAAAGCAACAACTCCTTTTAGATTAGGATTATGACCTGAGAAGAAGCAACATATACGTACAATTTTGGAAATTAAAATCTGAGATCACGTCTTTTTCAATAATGCGTAAAGGCTAAATTTGCGTGCTCACAGGTGTGGGTCAACTCTAAGTAAGGAAAATACATTTGCTACTTATAGTAGTTAAAAGTGAAGAGGTAATATTGTCCGACAGCTTCATAGGGGTTGCCCAACATACATAAATACATGAAATAATTCTTCATTATGTCGTTAGGATGAGAGAAGCCTCCCTTTCCACAGCTCCTAAGTTTTTAAATCAACACTTCTCTTAAGAAAGATGAAACTCTCCTCATCTCAATCTTTTGGTAATAGTCATGAATCTGTACATTAAAAAAAAGCAGGCATGTGAATTGCTGAGTCCACCTTACCATCCACGGAAGGCCCTATGAGCTGACGGACTTGAACAATTACTTAACCTTTCTTATCTTTTAGGTAAGTATTTCAAGAGAAAATTAACAGTGTAGGTGGCTTAGAAATTCATTCAGAGCCTTAGAAATACACATTAACACAATTCTCACATGTTTGAATTTGGTCTGCACCCAGTCATGTAAACCAAATCATTCCCAGACCGACGAAACTCACATCTTACCACACAAAGACAAAGGCATACCCTTGACTGTCGCAATCACAAGGCTCAGCGAATTCTCGCGCGATGTGACGACGCCGCTGCCGTGATGTCACCGGTTGCCATAGCAGCATCCCTCCCGAGTGGAAAAGAGGGGCGGTTTGGGGCGGAGCGCGTCTTCTGCGGAGGACAAGGGACGCTCTCCTCCTGCAGGTCTGCCTTCTACCAAAATGAGCGGCCTGGATGAGGGCAACAATCTTCCTGTCGCTAAAGACTGCGACCTGGCTACTGGCGACCATGCCCCGGGACATCCGGACCTAAACCAGTGCCCGGGCGAGGAAACCGAGGCGACGCCGGTGATGGCGGACACAGGTGAGGGCGGCTTGGAGACCGCCGCGGAGGGAGGCGCACCCCAGAACCCCGCTAGTTGTGCCCCGGTGCTCCGCGTTCGAGTTTTTGGGAGTCGCGGCCGTGTAGCGACCAGATCGGGCCAGAAAGAGGTTCTTGCCACGGAAGGTTTCGCAGCAGCCCCTGCCTCAGCCTCCGCCGCGGTGGCGACCGACAATAGCCAGGAAAATGGCTGTCCTCGTAGAGAGCCGCAGGGCCCTGCTGGGGAGAAAGCTCTAGAAGCCTGTGGCGCAGGGGGGTTGGGGTCTCAGATGATGCCTGGGGCGAAGGCCAAGGAAATGACAAAAAAGTGCGCCGTTTCAGCGGCTGCGGAAAAGGAGGGAGGAGCAGAGGAGGTGGTGGAGGAAAAGAAGGTGATGCAGAAGGAAAAAAAGGTGGTAGGAGGAATGAAAGAGGAGACACGGGGCAAGGCCCCGAAGATCAATAACTGCATGGATTCTCTGGAGGCCATCGATCAGGAGCTGTCAAATGTAAATGCCCAGGCTGACAGGGCCTTCCTTCAGCTGGAGCGCAAGTTTGGCCGCATGCGAAGGCTTCATATGCAGCGCAGAAGTTTCATTATCCAAAATATCCCAGGTTTCTGGGTCACTGCCTTTCGGAACCACCCCCAGCTGTCACCTATGATCAGTGGCCAAGATGAAGACATGATGAGGTACATGATCAATTTGGAGGTGGAGGAGCTCAAACACCCCAGAGCAGGCTGCAAATTCAAGTTCATCTTTCAGAGCAACCCCTACTTCCGGAATGAGGGCCTCGTCAAAGAATATGAGCGCAGATCCTCTGGCAGGGTGGTGTCTCTTTCCACTCCAATCCGCTGGCACAGGGGCCAAGACCCCCAGTCCCATATCCACAGGAATCGGGAAGGAAACACTATACCCAGTTTCTTTAACTGGTTCTCAGACCACAGCCTTCTAGAATTCGACAGGATTGCGGAGATTATCAAAGCGGAACTGTGGCCCAATCCCCTACAATACTACCTGATGGGTGAAGGGCCTCGCCGTGGAATTCGAGACCCAGCAAGGCAGCCAGTGGAGAGCCCCAGGTCCTTCAGGTTCCAGTCTGGCTAACTGATGACCTTATGAGAAGCTCCTGCACAAGTCTCCTCACCACCTCCCCTTGAACCTATGCTTAGCCAACAGCATGCAGTCTTCTATCTGCTTTCTCTTCACACTGGAGTATTTTCTTTGGTTCTTCTAAATCTTCAACAATCAGTTGCAAGGTTGACTCTTATACGCTTGTGTTCTTCTTCCTCTGGACCTTCATGCTCTTCTGTATCCTGTTACATGTTCCAAGTGCATGGCCTTGCACTGCTTCTATGCCATGCACATGATGCTGTAGATAGATAGGCACTGCCTTCCTTTGCATGCCTTGAGCCCTGTCTGTGACCATGGTCTTTTCCCAGTTTTTTAAGTGGTTATCTACCACAAAGAAGCTTGAAATACCTTTGCAAGTAACTAGCTGGGCTTCATACTTAATGCTGAGTGTCCTCCTGATACCCATGTACTGTATGTCAAGTTCTTTGAATTTCACTGCTGCAAGATGAAGCTGATCTAGATGATGCCAGCCGTCAACCAAACTGGACATTCTGGCTACCACTGACTGGCTCCTAGCTGCCTTCCTGGCCTGTGCCATCCACCCAGCTGGTTATCTGGCAGAATAAGGGGGCTGGTGGGGGCTACGAGGCATGAATGAGGTAACGGATGAGAGGTGTTCAGTGTTACTGCATTGGTCTTCTTTTGCCTTTGGGCACTCTGCTTTGTGAACAGGTACTGGTGAGTATGACGGTCTGTGCTATGGCCCACCCAAACCTGCTCTCAGCCTTCTGGGTAAGCTTTGCATAGGCACCACTGCCTGCTTCCTCAGCAACTATCTGTGGACTTAAGATCCCAGGCAGCACATAGGGAACTTCCCCTCAGACCCCCTACCCCATCAAGTAGTTATCTATAAACCCAACTGGCTGTTGGGCAGGTTGGGCAGTCATACATGATAGTGCCCAAAGCAAGGCTGGTAATGGTTCACTTCCAGCAGTTAGGCTTTCTGAGCTGTAGCCAACAAACACCCTTTATTTGGGCAACTTTGTTAGGTATCCCCCTCCTAACTCTTGCACTCATTCTCAGAATGACAGGATAAAGTTGCTAGGGTGGGGGCACTGAGGGAGAGGTGTTTCTGGTCTGTGGGGCCTCTTGTGTATCTGTCTCTATCTTTCTCTTCCCTCCCCCCACCACCTTGTTCTCTCTGCTTCCCTCTCCCACCCTTCCTCCCTCTCTGAAACAGTTACAGCTCAGAAACAGAAAACTAAACTGGCAAAAGCAGGCTTTTTGTTTAATTTGCTCTCACCTTGTGTCCAGAGGGAGAAAGGTACTGTACAATAGACTCCAGATCTTTTAATTGTGCTCTTCTGCCCTCATGCCTCCCCCCTACTTCCTTTTTAGTAGGGTCTGAAAGGAGACCTGTAGGTTGTTTAGTTATGAGCAGTGTTCTTTTGGGCCAACTTTGTTGACCCCACCCTTTTTCCCTGTCCACTTTCCAAAACCTGTGTTTCTTGAGTTTAGTTTGAGAAGCAGAGGGGAAAGACAGGGGGCCTCACAGTGATGGATTTAAGGCAGACCCAGAGTAGGGTGTGGTCTAAAGCAACCAAAACTTAGTTTCACTCTACTTTTTTAAACATGGAAATTTGGTGGGGGGGGGGTGGCCTTGGATCACTTAGAAATAACCCCAGGGCAGCATTTTGAGGGTCACCTCTGTCCTCTATTACTGCTTTGATGTCCCCGGGGCCTCCATCCTATGGCCTGGCCTTCCTGGCTCTCCCTCCTCCACTAACGCATTTCCTTCCCTGCTTCTCTCCCAAAGACAGGGAGCAGGCTGCAGTCTACACTGTGGGAGATGCCAGGCTACCCTCCTAGGGCGGTATGGGGATGTGTGGTGTCTGGATTTCCAGGATAGGTTCCAGTAGGTGGGACAGCAGTGCCGTCAGGGCTGTCTTACTTGGGTTGTATATAGTGCTAGTAATGACTGCCTTTCTCCTTTTTTTTGAAGGCCTTGCTCTAAGCTCTAAGTGTGTTTGGGAGGTCTGGGCACAGCAAGTGGGGAGGATGCTGTGGGCTGAGGAACCTGAAAGCCCAGAAACAGAAATGAACCTGCTGTGGAGTAGGCTTGGAAAGGCACAGGGAAGACTGGAACCCTGCAGGGTTGGGGATGGTGGGGAGAGTCCCTGAAGCTTTTCCCAGGAGAGGTGGGAGAATCAAAGTGGTTGATGTTTAAAGAGGATGCTTGGAGTAGTTTTCCCTAATTCCCTTGAATTCACCAGTAGATTTTTATACACAAAAATGCAAGTCTGGATGTTTTCTCTCTATTATTATAGGAGTGTTCTTTTCTATGTGGAAGACGAATGGTATATGCTGTATTTGAGTAAAATCCTATTAATTCCTTTTTCTATTTTTGCTTGCTGGCAAAATTGACATTTACAGGCCTGCTTTTTGCTTGTAATTGAGAATGTGTGCAAAAATATCAAACTTGTTCCTGTGCAGTATGACACCTGTGAATATTCATTAATATTATCAGCTTGTTCTGGCCTGTCTGTATATATAGTTCTAAGAAATATAATTTGAATGTGATCTTTGAAATTTTGCAAATTGTTGCTTTGTCTTGTGAAAGTAATCTCAAAAAGAAAAACATAACTCTATTGTCTTGATATTTCTTGCCCTCATAATAATGTTGTACTTGACATTTTATGTTCCTAACCTTAAGTGTAAGTACTTGTAGAATTGCTCTGTCAAACTAAACAAGGATCATTAAGTACTTTAGTCTTCTTTGTGCTCAAAGGAAAAATAAAGTCTGTCGCTCTGCTGTATTTCTTGTTTTCACCAAAAAATAAAAATAAAGTTCTGTGTTGTCTAGGCTAATAAAAGGTTGGGAATTCATTAAAGTTATCAAATTGTCACAGTAAGCATTTTCCTGAAGCTTCAAAAAAAAGCCACCAAATTTCTAAGACATTTTTTTCTTGGAAAAGGGTAAATAAGAAGCCTAACTAACTGCATGCTCATGAACATAATTTTTCCTATTCAGCCAGTGCAGTTATTGAAGGTAATTGAAGCACCATTTCTTGATTTTAGTCATTTACTTAAAATACTGTTTTTAGTAGAAAACATTTTTGGCTTTTTAAGTTTTTATTTTAATTCCAGTTAATTAACATACAGTGTTATATTAGCTTTAGGCCTACAATATAGTGATTCAACAGTTTCATACATCACCCTGTACTCATCTTAGCAAGTGCACTCCTTAATCCCTATTACCCATTTAACCCATCCCCTCACTCCCTCCTCTCTGGTAGCCATCAGTTTGTTCTCTGTAATTAAGAGTATTGTTTCTTGATTTGTCTTTTCCCCCCTTTCCTTGTTTTGTTTCTTAAATTCCACATATGAATGAAATCATAATGGTATTTGTCTTTCTCTGACTTATTTCACTTAGTGGAAAACTTTTCTTTTATAAAGATTTTTATTTATTTGACAGTGAGAGATACAGTGAGAAATACAGTGAGAGAGGGAACACAAGCAGGGGGAGTGGGAGTGGGAGAAGCAGGCTTCCTGCTGAGCAAGGAGCCTGATGTGGGGCTCGATGCGGGGCTCGATCCCAAGACCCTGGGATCATGACTTGAGCCGAAGGAAGCCGCTTAACGACTGAGCCACCCAGGTGCCCCCGTGGAAAACTATTCTTAATGCACCATTCTTGTTTACTACATTTATGTTAACTGATCTTACTCTTTCCTCAGTGAGCTTAAGATAGACTTTTGGAAGAAATTAATCTTTGTGTATTCTGTAAGTGCTTAATTTCTTTTCCTACAAGTGTGTTGCTTTAAAAAGAATAAAAAAAATTGTGACTGACACAGTGTCTAGAAACAAATGATCTCAGACATCTCAGTCTAATTACCAATAATGTTTTGCTGTTCAGCAGTTGTCACATGAAGGTTTGGAAGCTAAATACTTCTGCAATCTCTGGAGTTGAGGGAGCTACGGACATTGCAAGACCTGTGAAAAGGAATGGTATTTTTAGCCATCTAAACAAAAATTTTACATAAATGGCCCCAAATTATTATTAAACAGACCTGCTGACTCTTGATGCAATCCATACTTGGAAGTTTTACTTAAGTATAATTTTTTCTAGGCCTGGAGAACTTTAAGTTTTAGAGAGCTAGGTTTTCTTTGCAAACTCTACACCCAACTTAATCCTAAATTTTCCTTATAGTGTTCATTTTACCTTTTCAATTTAGTGATTGATTTTTTTCTGCATCAACCACTTGTGTCAAGCATTTTCTCTTATCCTTTTCTGGACATGGTCAGAAAAATGTCATTTTTGTTGCCCTTGGTTTATTATCAGCTTTAACCAATAGTATTCATTTTTCTAGTAGGTTGGTGCCCCTCGATTGTTAGATTACCATGGTTTCTGTTCTGTTTAATAAAATTAGACTCAATTAGACATTATGTAGGTTTCACTTTACTAGTCAGTTGGTATACTCCTATATCCCTGTTCCATTTCTTTTCATTGCCTTGTTTTTCTTTCTCAATTCTAGACCCAAATAATTCCTTATGCAGACCTTCAAATCATATGCGAGGTTCTCTTGTCCTCTGTTCACCAAAGAAGTATCATTTGGTCTGCTCAGGCCATATTGCCGTTAGTAGGGTCATTCTTCATAATTCCCCTGGTGCCCACATAACAGAATCTCCTTGTGCATTCTTTTCCATTTCTGGGTATTCAGCTTAGACCAGACTGACAAAAGGCTTCTCTAACCTTCCTTACTCAGGGTCCCTTCTCCCCACCACTCCTGTTGCTGCTACTGCTTCTCCTTTATCTCTAGTTGACTCCAGTTTCTGGAATCAGTGTTTATCATAAAAACAAACAAAAATTACCTGTATTCTTACTGAATCCCCTGCTCCACAGAGTCACAGTTTGAGCCTTGGATACCTGATTTGCGTCAGAGATACCGTCTCTGGTTTGACAATCTCCAGAAATCTGAGGTATGTCCTGCACATCCGTTTGTGTTCTCATGTTACTTTCATAGTCCTGACACAGGTCTTACTATCTCCATTTAAATAGTTGAGAAAACAGGCTCAGAAAGTTGAAGTAAATGTGCCTAAGATGCAAGTCACAGAGACGTGAATTTTTTTATTTCAAGCCTAGGGTATCTTCCATTATAAACGTACTAAATTTGTCATAAAACAAAAATCGTATTTATGTGAATAATCAGGACTCAGTTGAAGTTATTCTTCATTCATGATTGGTCTTTGAAAGGGGTACTTTTTTTTAACCATTTAATACAGGGTTCCATACAGTCACAGATTAAAACACTACTGAAATTTACAAATGCAATTTTTTTTTTTTTAAAGATTTTATTCATCCATTTGACAGAGACACAGCGAGAGAGGGAACACAAG